GAGAGATCTGGACGTGTAATGTTAATTTTACCTGTGATCCTCTGAATAAACCAGCACGGTTATTTTTTATAAAATCTAAAGCGGTCTGCTTCGTCTTATTGTGAGTTCCTGGTTTAAAAGAGCCGGAAGAGGCTTCATAGAGAAATAGAAGCTTATAATTAGCTAATGTTAAAAGAACATCTAGAAAACGACTTCTATTTGTTAAATGAAAAAAACTTCGAAAAAAATCAACTGGACTAAATTTCTAGGTCGAACTGACGAAGCCTCTTGGATGAGAGGTGAAACGTCTTCGACCTAGAAATCTAGTCCAGTTGATTTTTCTAAGTTTTTTTCAGTTTACCATGACCTGGATGACTGAGAATCTGCACAGACACTTCTATTTGTTGTTGTAACACTCGGTACACAATCGGTCTCACAGTCAGAAGAGTATCAATAAAATTACACACCTTTTTGTATATATGTTTTTTTAGCGGTGTTAGTTTTCCATTCAGTGACTCTGGAAGTCTGCAGCAGCTCTGTTTTGACACTTTAACCCTTGTAGCTAAACAGGAAGTGCGAAAACTTTTCCGGTTTGGGGTTTAAAAGGTAAGAGCGTTGATGAACGTGCATAACGCCGCCGGTAGTGGTGCGTTCACTTAAGTACTTACTCAAGTATTGTAAAATTTGCTTTTAAGGTATTTGTACTTTCACTGTTTCAGTTTAATCCCACAACATCTATCTGTATAGCTTTAGTTATTGTCATTGTTGGAGGAAGTAAAGGAATATTTTATTGTGAATTCTGCTAACCGGAAGTCACATGTTTTCTGTTCAGTCACCTTCATCGGTGTGTTGTAACGTGTAGTACGATAACACCGTGGCAAAGATTTTTAAAGACAGCTTAGGTTAAAGATTGAATTAACGCAGAATCAGCTAGTGCGAGTTTCGCTAACATAAATGGTTTAACCATCGGAAACGGGTTGACTCAATAAATTTAGACAGGTAAGTTAACTCGTTTTTTTTGGGGGGGGGGGGGTTCAGTTTTTCCATTTGGTGTGTTTATGCTGTTTCTAGTTTATTCTTTATTCGGATCCTAACTATTTACCATCCTAAATAGTGACGTCACTTCCTGGGATCCCCAGTTCCAAACAATTCACCATAAAATGTAGCGCACATGCACTTCAGTACTTGTGTACTAGGCAAGGCAAGCAGCTGTATTTAAATACCACATTTCAAACAGGCGGTTCAACGTGCTTTACATGGGTAAAGAGAGCACCCCCAACATGAGTCACACATTGTTATATTGTCGCGCTGCCATCATGTAAACTGGGTTTGTTTCGCTCCTGCAGTCGGACGTCAGACCCTCCCTCAATTTGCTCTGCATCAGCTTAACACCTGCACACCTGTAACAAGCTCTCAGCCAATCAGCGCTCTTCCTTCTCCCTCAGCTCACATGTAGCATCACACCCTGGAAACTCAACTCGTAAAGGCAAAGCTGAGCCTCGTGGTGTGTTGAGCGTCCTCGTGGTTTGACCTGTAGCTCCAGCTTTCCACTCATTCAGGGCTCTGTGTCGTCTGTTATCACAGAGAAGAAAGTCAGTGACCCTTGTGAGAGCTGAACTGAGAAGTTAGAGGGTTTCTCATTCACTTCTAGTGGACATTAAAGGAACTGCAACTGGAGTTGCTCTGGTGTCAGTATGTCCTGGTGAGCTGCTTCCTAATTTGTATCTGTTTATAAAGAATAAATTCAGTGTCCTCAGGCTGAGTTTGTCCAATGCCGAGGCACAGTAAGCTGCAGCGGCTGGTCCTGACTCTGTACCGGCAGTTCCTGCGAGCTGGTCAGAACAAACCAGGCTTCATCCCTCGAATCCGAGATGAATTCAGAGCGAACGCCCGGATCAAGAAGACAGACGTGATGCACATTGAGTACCTGTACCGGCGAGGACAGAGGCAGCTGGAGCAGCTGAAGGATGTCAACACCAAACAGCTGGGTTCCTTCTCCAAACCCAGAGACCAAGGCTGACCCCTGACCTGCACAGTGTCATGTGACCCTGAATGACTCAAAGACTTGGTTAGGAAAGAAATGTCATGCTGTGATGCTGCATTCAAGTCCAGTGGGAAACTAAAGCTCAATATAGAAGAAATTATGTGATAACCATTATTTAAGTTTTTCGGATATTGCAATCATCACAAATAATTAATGTCAGCTGAACAGTACAATAAAGTTTTTAAAAGATATATCAAATCAGTGATGAACCATAGTGCTGGAATGTAACCAGGTGTACATGGTATTGAGTATAAATTTGAGGTACGTTGCCTGAGGATTTTCTTTTCGTACTGCTTTCAACAATAGTTACTTGATAAATTAATAAAATATGATACTTTGTCATAGATTAAATTACCTACCACTGAAATAATTAGTTCATTGAGAGATTATGATTAATAACTTTATTAAAATGCCAAACATTTCATTCTTTTAGCTTCACAGATGTGAGAACATGTTATTTTCCTTTGAGTTATTTTAAATGCTGCCAAATATACCATTTTTTGTTGTTGTTTATTCCCTTTCTCTCTCTCTCTTTCTTTACTCCCCCTGGCCCCTTTTTTACTTACACATAAGACACCTTCACACACAAACCACCTCTATAACACTAATTGTGAATAGGGTTGTGGAGGGCTTTCAGTTTAACACTGACATATTAGGTCGTTTGTGTAGCAGCCTCCTCTGCAGTAAGACTATAGTCTGTCTCACACCACAGTTTAGATTTCTTGCCAGACTTTGCTCTAGTGTTTACGTACAAACAAGCACAAAATCAATGCAATGTACATCTCTAATAGAAGTACCTTGTAGGATTTCCCCTTGTATGAAGAGGCAGGCTTCACAGAGGAACACTCCAGGCAGCACTTCCCCGGCAGGTGAACAAGCTCAGACCCCTATAAACAAAAAATCTGATTGGATTTGGGTCATTCATTTCATTTGTAGAGCGGTTTAATAATAAAAGCTATAAAAATAATCATCACAGGACTTAACATTCAGCAGGGGGCCTGGAACCAATCCCAGCTGACACTAGGTTTAGAGGCAGGGTCTATCCTGGACAGGTCGCCAGTTTATGGGGGAGGTGACAGAGCGGTGGGTAGAGCAGTCATTCGAATCTCAGTGCCTGCAGTCCACATGTCAAAGTGTCCTTGAGCACTTCATCCCCCCACCCCCCGGATGGTTAGAGCCTTAGAGTCATCGGTTGAGTTGGAGCCACAGATGGCTGCCTCGGTTCTGTACCGGAAACAAATTCCTTGTGTGTAACATACTTGGCCATTAAAGATGATTATCCTTATCACAGGTCTGACATGTAGACACTCACTCCTACAGGTAGTTTAGAGTCGCCAGTCAACCTAAGCTGCATGCCTTTGGACTGCGGGTGGAAGCTGGAGTACCTGGAGCGAACCCACGCAGGCATAAGGAGAACATGCAGACTCCACACAGAAAGACACCAGGCCAGCCAGGGCTCGAACCAGAAACATTCTCGCTGTTCTGCTAACCACTGTTTTGCTGTGCCGCCCATCATACATTCTTCTCTAAATGACTTGTATTCATGTTCCGTTTTTTGTCTTGTTACCATGCTATTTTGTCTTGCAATTAAAAAGAAAGGTTGGCTTTTAAAATTCAGTAAAAAGAAATCAAAATTACAAATTTTTTCATTGTGGGGAATCCTCAAAACGTTATAAGACATTTGACTAGAACTGTACATGAAGCTATAGTTTACATAATTTGATTTGGAGAAAGTTGATACTTCTGGTTTATATTTATTTACTTGCTTTATTAATAATGTTCCTTGTAAAACCGTTCCATGTTTATTTTTTATTCATTCAATATTTAGGTTTAGATATATTAAATTTTTTCAGTTTTTTAAAAATACAAGTTTCGTTTTTTCCCCCGGGAAATCTCACTGGTATCTTGGAAAATTAGATACCTTTTTAAAGGAATAAAATAACACGAAATGAAATCAAATAAATCCACTTCCTTATTCCGCATTGGTTGTCCCGCCTACGTCAAACGTCAGTTTTTCTGATTGTACGGTTTTGTCGTAGTGTATCTATTGCGTCCTCTCTAATAGGCTGGAAAAAATTGGCGGGGAAAAAAAAAATGCAACTACCAAGAAGACGTTTCATTGTTAAAATCGGTGCACCAGTCTTCTTGTTGTAAATATTTATTTACTGGGGTCTTTTGTGCTGGTAAGTTCTTTAGGATGGCTGGCGCTGAGTGTAACAGCGAAGTTGCAGAGATTTCCGAAAAACTGGAAAAGTAAGTGAAGCCAACATTAGTTTACAATTACCATCAGTGTTAATCCTCCCCGGTTAATACGCCAAGAGGCTAGTTAAACTTGTACCGACAGTGGTTAATTTGTGTTTGGAAGCCACCGCGCTAAAGCTGAAACCCACAAAACAGAGTCAATCTTTGACTTTTAACTGGACCGAGTACAACTTTAATCATACTGCTCCAAACACCAGTTGATGCCATCTGGTCCTATAGTCCCTTTTAAAGAAGCTAAGTGAGTTAAGTTAGCTGCTGGACTGGGCCTGTGCTCGCCGCAGCCTCTGCTACTTACATACGCTGGAGTCGGAGGGACAGCGGTCCCCTGACCAACCTGTGGCTCTCACGTATCGCATGGAGCCAGAATATTTGCCGTCACTGACGGAATGCTTCTTAACCATACGGCCAGCAGTAACAGTAATGGTTTTTGAGTTGCTTTTCTAATTATTTTTTTCTGATGTTATTATTTGCAGTTTTCAGGGCTTTCTGTAGCTTGTTGCTGAAACCCAGCGTTTGGTCTCAGTTCCTGTTCTAGTGTTCAAGAGGGTAATTTAAAGATTAGTGACCAGCTCAAACTAAAAGTGAAAATCTCACCGCGAAGACTCTGCTGTTTCCCCTGTTCTAATGAAGGTTTAAAAGCCTTAATTTCCATTTAAAAGGCTATTTGTGTTTTACATTTTGAGTAGAATTAAGGCATAAATGAATTTGAATTAATTAATTCATTTATATTTCGTGAGCAGATCCACCTGGTGCATCGTGCTCATTCGGTGAAATTCACAACCTTTATGCAAAGTGATTTTCTTGTTTCAACCAGTTTCCTCTTTTTACCTAAACAGCTGTTGCTGGTTAGTAAATGGTTAAAAGATCACAACATAGAAGAGAAGCAAAGTTGCTTTCACAATTAACAATGCACTTCCTGCCATTTTACAGTGAAAATCCCAGGCACATATTTGACTGCAGTGTCCAGAGCAGAGTTAAACAGAACCCAGTAGAATTAGTTAGTTTGGTGGGGGAATGACTCAGCCCCAGCAGCACCAGGTGCATCCATGCATAGCTGCTGGGCTGAGAGACAACCCAGAATATTGTGAAGTGAGAGCTTCAGGATCAGGAAATCCCATGTTAAGAGCAACTTCTAGGTACTTCCCATGGTAAATGTTCCCTGACTTCAAAACTCTGGCTCAAGTGAAGCTGGCAAGTCCAGTCTCCGGTGTGGCAGCAAAGCACAGGTTCAGCTTTCAGATCACTTCTAACAACCACGAGAAGCCGAGACTCAGTGGCCTGTTGATGAGATGGGATCAGTTCAGTTAGCCTAACCTTGTGTAAACTGCCTCTTCACAGTTTAATGGGAATTGTCTAATTTAGTAAAACTATGCTGTAGATAATTTTGTTCCCTTTCTTAATGAAAATGAATGAAAATTAAATCTATTGAATATTTTATCATTAAAAAATTAAACTGAGTGGCATTTTTGCCTAACAATATGATTACTCAGTTATCAGCTAGTTTCTGATTAACTTTCCATCAGTGGACTAATTGTTGCAGATCTAGTTGATGTCCAGGCTGTTGACTAATTACAAAGACTGTAATGTGTGACATCCTACATCAAAACTCACTTGACATGATGGTCGGGGGGGGGCTTTGTTTGTTTTTTGTCATGTTTGTGATAAGCGTGCTAACGGGGACAACTGGTTTCAGATTTTTGTTAGTGTTGTGTTTGTTCTAATTTGGATTTAAAGGTGGATTTAACTTTGATAAATATTTTTAAACTGCCGGTTCATGCAGAGCACAAACAGAAGCCATTTAGATTCGATTAGATTCAACTTTATTTTTTATTACCCATGTACAAGTACAAGGCAACAAAATACAGTTTAGCCTCTAACCAGAAGTGCAGAGTGCACAGTATCTACAGTCAGAACTAATTTACCATAGATATGCACAGTGGATATTTACAGTAAGTTATACAAGGCAATATACAACAGACTTTATGGATTTAAATTACATTAATCTTATAAAACACTAGTGCTATGGGATGGAACAGTGCAGAATAAGAAGATAAGTTACATGAGTGAACAGTTCAATGGATGTAAATAGCAGTATTCTGTGAGTATGTGCAAATTAACAGATCACCTCAGTGTTACAGGTAATAGAAGTGTATTGCATTAGTCCAGGAAGGAGAGATGAGAAGGGGTGAGGTGTGTGTAGTGGTATAGAGGAAGAATTTAGACTTGTCATCATTACACCTGGAGCTTGGATGTCACTGATGCTGACTTTGTCTTCACAGGTCTTTGTCCATAGACACTGATGCCATCCATGATGACCAAATGGAAACCTACCACAGGTAACCCTAAGCAATTAAAAACACTGCTGGTTTGTGCCCAGCAGTCAGCCTTTGTCTTTTACAGGCCATTATTAAAAATCCAAAGTAAAATTCACAACCTTTATGCAAAGTGATTTTCTTGTTTCAACCAGTTTCCTCTTTTTACCTAAACAGCTGTTGCTGGTTAGTAAATGGTTAAAAGATCACAACATAGAAGAGAAGCAAACTGCATTAATGTGGAGGAAAAATCCCTGTTTACCTATAGTAAAATGAGCAACTTTCAGTGAGTGTGAAATAAAAAGAATTGAGATAGATATGTCCTTTGTATTTTATTTCTTGCAAGAAACAGCAGTAATACCATGGATGGCTTCTTTTTTCAGAGGATATTGTGGTTTGCATGGTCTGTAATCATACTTTGGAGTAATTACAACCAGTTCACAATCTTTGATGAGGCCAGCACTGTATTTATGTGTAGCCCACAGTGTCTTAGGGACTTCCTGTAAGGCTGGGATGGCTGCAGCCTGTGCTTCAGATAGGAAGTGCTGAGCTCGTGTTGTGTTTTCAGGTACCAGCTGAACAGATCTTGTTGAACGAAACACTGAAGAGAAGCTTCTTTTAAAACACTGCAGTGTAGGAGAAAACAAAATAGAAGCATCGTGAGTTGGTTGCCAATTATTTGTTTGCATGCATTTTTTAACGAAGGGACCCATGTCTCTCCATTCATCATTAATGCCTTTGGCCAAAGAAATGTGTGGAACGGCTCTGTCAATGTCATACAGTTGAAACTGTGTGTGTGTCAGAGAAACTGCAAGTGTACATCTGTGTGTGGTCCAAAATAGATGTGTAGTAGACAATTTGTCA